CCAGGTCCTAAGAATGCAGATGGTGGATCAGGCTTTTCACAGGTGTTTAAATCAGTCAATCTTAGGTTAGCATTTTTTAGAGTACTTAATTTCTTAAAAATACTGCTACATGTGGGCCGGGCGTGGTGGCTCACGCCTGTAATCCCAGCACTTTGGGTGGCCGAGGCAGACAGATCACAAGGTCAGGAGATCGAGAACATTCTGGCTAACACCATGAAACCCCGCCTCTACTAAAAATACAAAAAATTAGCCAGGTGTGGTGGCACACACCTGTGGTCCCAGCTACTCGGGAGTCTGAGGCAGGAGAATCACTTGGAGCTGGGAGGCGGAGGTTGTGGTGAGCTGAGATTGCACCACTGCACTCCAGTGCTGGGTGACAGAGTGAGACTTTGTCTCAAAAACCAAAAAAAAAAAAAAAAAAAAAAACCAAAAAACTGCTACATGTATGTTACTGCAAATAAGTGTATGTATGAAACCTACTATGCACATGAACTTGATAAAATTGTGAACTTAACTTACTTAACAGATTTCACTATTTACTAACTTCTATTAAGGTATGGCCATAAGAAATAGTATTATAAAGAAGCATACATACAATTCAGTGTTTGTTTATTGTGGTTCTACAGATGCCTTAAAAATAGGTTTCCCAGCCAGGCATGGTGATTCACGCCTATAATCCGAGCACTTTGGGAGGCCAAGGTGGGTCAATCACTTGAGGTCAGGAGTTCGAGAGCAGTCTGGCCAACACAGTGAAACCTCGTCTCTACCAAAAACACAAAACATTAGCTGGGCATGGTGGTAGGTTCCTGTAATCCCAGCTGCCCAGGAGGATGAGGCAGGAGAATTGCTTGAGCCCAGGAGGCGGACGTTGTAGTGAGCCGAGAACGTACCACTGCACCCCAGCCTGGGTGACGGAGACTCTCAAAAAAAAAAAAAAAAGTTTTCTGTAAGAGAAATGTTAAATTGAATTCCAGGGCATAAGGTGTGTGCAGGTATGTATTTCTGCGACAAATCCAAACATAGTTTTCTGGATCTTAGAGTTCTTTAAATTCTGAAAACCTAGAGATTGACTGATAAGTCTGTTTACACTGCCCACTCTCTAATGGGGAGGAGTTTCCTTTGGAAAGATTATCAGAAATCTCCAATCACCAGAACTTCAGCTTCAACTCTCTGACCCTGTGCAAGTTCAGTCCTGATCAGGGATGGCCAGCAGTGGCTCCGGTGCCCTTTGCATTGTAACTAAAGTAGTTGATGATATTTTTATCTTTTTCCAGCATTCATTTCTTTTTCTTGAATGTTAGACTCCCCTCTAGTTTGTTCTTTCTTTAAAAGTTGTTTATTCTTTAGTAGTTAAGTAAGTAGCTACTAAGTGATATAATTAGATGGAGGTGATTGGATTGATTCAGGGAATTGGGTGGTATGTATTTAGTAGCCTGAGAATATGTAATTCTTGGAGTATTTTTTTTTAAGATGCTCTTTTGAAAATGTTCTGCTGGTTCTTTTCTGTTTCTGGGGCCTGCATGCATGAAAGTCAGCAATCCACGCTGTAGGGAACACAAGATGCTCATCAACTCTTGTCATTTGCTTGTGTTTTAATCTGTTTCATTTTCATTCAGCAAGTAACATTTTTCAAATGCCAGCTCCTGTGCTAGAGGCTAAGGATGCAGAGAGAAGATTTGTCAGTTTGCCTCCATCTTTAGACATTATTCTTTAGTCTTTACTCAAGTCTCTGCCTCAGATTCTGCCTCTTTGCTCCAGTGATTTAAAAATTACTTGAGAGCCTATAGTCCCAGCATTTTCAGAGGTTAAGGCAGGCAGATCACTTGAGGCCAGGAGTTTGAGACCAGCCTGGCAAACACAGCAAAACCCTGTCTCTACTAAAAATATAAAAATTAGCTGCGTATAGTGGTGCACACCTGTGTTCCAGCTACCCAGGAGACAGGAAAATCGCTTGAACCCAGGAGGCAGATGTTGTGGTGAGCCAAGATTGCACCACTTCACTCTAGCCTGGCAACAAGACTGTCTCAAAAAAAATAAATAAGAAAGTTTAGAGGCCAAATGGAGTGGCTCACACCTATAATTCCAGTTCTTTGGAGGCAGAGGTGGGAGGAGCACTTGAGGCCAGGAGTTTGAAACCAGCCTGGGCAACATAGCAAGACCCCATCTCTACAAAAAAAAATTCTTTTAATTAGCCACGTGTGGTGGCACATGTCTGTAGTACCAGCTGCTTGGGAGGCTGAGGCAGGAGGATCACTTGAGCTCAGAAGCTTGAGGTTACTGTGAACTGTGATCAGATTTCTGCACTCCAGCCTGGGCAAAAGTAAGACCTTGTCTCTAAAAAATAAATAAATAAAAAGACTTGTTCTCATTTTTCATGTTTTTACATGAAAATTCTGCAAGCCTAGATTACATCAATAACAAAAAGGGGCAGAGAGGTTGGCTCAATTATTTTAAAAGTAACTAAGCAGGTAAGAGTTTTAGAATCTTCCATCCATCAGCTTCCTAGTACGCTTCTTGGCTCTTATCCTAGCAATTAGTTGCTTAAAACAAAGCCCTTTATGTTGGTAGTGGTACCATGTAATTTATAGTCTACGCACTGCTGGATAAGGGGATTGGCACACTTTTCCCTTCCCTATCACTGCAGTGGGAAGATCATTTAAAAGACTAAGTTTGATTTGAACCTAGGGCCAAATTACCTACTGCAAATCAATCCTCCTCCTCCCCTTTCCCCTCACAAAAGCCAGAATTCGCTGTGAAAGGTGACAGGTGTATGTTCAACTCATTGTATGTTGACATATGGTCAGTATGAGGGAACGGTCCCTAATATAGATCTGTCCCGTGGCATGACTGCATGTTGTGGATTTCTAGCAGATGCAAAGGAGTGATGGAGCTTGAACCCCAAATACAAATATTTTAAGTGTTCAAATTTCCTTTTTTTTTTTTATAAGGACCAGACAGATTGATGGCATCTTGCTATAAATTTATGACTCACTGATGAACAAGACCTTGGAGGAACTTGCAAAGGGAAGTCACCAAGGCCATGTATCTTTAGGTGTCCATTGTGGAGAGTGTATATATGCCAGCGTAAGAAGCGTCAGAGTGAAAGGGTCATTACCTTTGGTTGAAAATGGTGAGGGGGTCATTATGTGTGTAAGAAAATCTTTGTTCTCTTCAATTAACAATTCTACAAAACGAGAACTGTCTTGGGAAACTGGGCTTTATGAATTCAAAGTATACTTTATCAAATATCTCATGTTTCAAATTATTTAAACAAATAAGTATTAAACATTAGACTTTGCCTGTTTCTTTCAATGGGAAAAATATAAACTCTGATAATAGGGTTTATATTTTTCCTACTCTTCCCCCTTAGACAATAGTAGGAAAAACTATTGGTCCCCACGAAGTTTTCATTCATCTCACCACTCTCATCCCCATTTGTGAGCAGGAATATGAAGCTGCCCAGGCTCCCCTTTTAATCACAGAGTCTACGACTAGGGAGTCAGATCACCATGTATCTTTGATTTGTCTTTCCCACTACTTGGCTTAAGTTGTAAAAATCACAGGTAACCATGGTCCGGCCAGTGGCAAAGTTGTGTATCTCTTTGCGTTCTTTGTTGCAATTAGTAACTCTTGTTAACTTAAAAGGGAGCGACTTTAGTGGAAGAATATTGGGAATGTATAGAATTGATAAGAAAACCAAAGAATGAGGGTTGAAGTAGGCAACACAGCAATTCTGGAGTTCCAGGAACCATGAACTACTTGAAGGCATTTGTACTGTCTCACCAGGCCTTGTACTAATTGCTGTCTGAGCAGGAACATGGTGGTGCCAGCCATTTTTGGTCTTCTGTAGTACTCACAAGGATTTCCCAGGGTAGGAGCATCCAGCTGGCATAGCTTGGGCCATACAACCACACCTTGTTGGAGGGAAGGGTGGACCCCCAATTGTGGTCTCACTGGGCCTTGTCTAAGACAGACCATTCTTCAAAGGCAAATTCAGATGGATTTATTGGAGGAAGTTATTTAAGCAGCCAAAAAAAATCAAGCAGTCATTCACCCCAGGATAGTAGAAAGGATTGAGGACAGATGCAGCCAGTACTAATATTCCTTGGTAATGAGGGTTAGAAAACTGTGCCTATGTGCATTGGCTTTGAGGCAGGTCTCTCTGTCTCTGGCTCTCTCTATTCTCCCCCTCCCCCACCC